GAAGTTTGAGAATCCCAGTCTACAAGCATAGTTATACACAATCTATGTGCCATGAAAGCTTACTCTTGGCAAGTCAGTTTCGGTCCCCCATGGGGTCCTGATGTCACTCACCTGGTAGGAAAACTTGAAGTCAGTGTGTTGGAGTTCCCTTTGCACACACACCCTGACCCATGAAAAAACTAATTACAGACTCCTCCCTGTGAGGTTCGGGAGCTATCTGGACCTATCAGGAATTCAAAATTGAATACAATGCATGAGGCTTGCAAATAATTTCTGCCATATCTCTGCCACCATATCACCCTTTGAGCAGTGCATCTTCCAGGGGTGCAAAATACTCTGGCAGACCGCGTCAGAGGACACTTCTCCAAAGACCACAAATGGGAACTTAACAACTTGGTGGTATAGAACATCTTTCAACAACAGGAATTCCCATCATGGGATCTCTTTGCATCTCACAAAAACAGGAAATGTCCAGCCTCCTTAAACGGTATGAGGACACAGCTCCAGATGGGAAGCATTTCTAGTACAACATTCAGAACCACTAACTTATGCATTTCCATCCATTCCCCTCTTGCCTTGAGTCCAGAGAAAGATCAAACAGGACAAAGTGTTGGTGATCCTAGTGGCCCCCATGTGGCCAAGGCAGTTTTAGTTCACTAGCATTCTCCTTGCATCTACATTCAGCTCCTGCCAGACATGTTAACCCAAGACAGGGGCAAGATCCTCCATTGCAAACCAGCATCTCTCCATCTAGCAGCTTCATATTTGGATGGATGCCAAACTTAAAAAGATCATGCCTGGAGGCTGTACAATCCATCATTAGCAATAGCAGAAAAGACTCCATAAGAAAAGGCTATACAGCAAGATGGGAGAGGTTCTTTGCATGGTGTCAACATCATCAGCTAGCCCTAGAGTATTCAGAGATCCCTAATATTCTGAACTAACTCCTGCCTGTGAAAATGTCACAGTTTTCTCACCTCCTTGTGAGTACACTTGGCAGTTATTAGAGCCTTTTCCCTTTCAATGGACAACCATACAATCTTCGCCTATCTGATTACAGTAAGGTTTTCAAAGGGACTTATCAGGACCTTTCCTCCAGTAATGAAACCTATCCAATATCGAACCTTGAGCTAGTCTTAGCCAGACTAACAAATTCCCCCTTCAAACCTTTAGCTTCCATGTTTCTTTGCTCATCTATCCATGAAGGTTGCCTTTCTGGTTGCAATCATCTCAGCCAGAAGAGCAGATGAGCTGGCGCCCTTATGGCAGTCCCTCCCTATATGGTCATCTGTTAGGATAAGGTTACATCCTTGAGGTTACATCCTAAATTCATTCCGAAAGTAATCTTGGAATTCCATCTGACCCAGGTCATTCATTTTACCTGTCTTCCACCAGAATACCCATGCTACCAGAGAGGATGGGAAGCTCCACTCTTTGGATGTTGGACAAGCCTTGGCCTTTTACCTACAGAGAACAAAACCTTTTAGGAAATGTTCTTAAGTATTTGTCTCTTTTGCCAAATGTATGAGAGGAGAAGCAATCTCCTCTCAGAGATACCTTCACTTTGAGATGTTCCTATAGAGTGGCAGCGTGGGGCTCTGTTCATACCTCTATGAAAAGTTACATCCTGGTACAAGCTTCTAGAACAGACACATCCTTCAGAAGAATAGTCCTTTGGTCTGTGATACAGCAGAGCTCCTCACACCATCATCCTCGATGAACACTGATTGTGAGTCACCTCAAATGGAATACGCAGATGGACCCTCACTGAAAGTCTGGTTATTTAGCTTGTTACTATACAAGGTATTCATGGTAGAGAAGGAACTACAGAGGCAGTTAGTCCATCTCCCACCCCGTCATATCTTTGGTTTGGAGCATGAGGAGGAGAAGGGTGTAGGTGCGGACCAAAGGACATTGCTAACAAAAAATCATCCAGTCTCAGGTGCATAGAGCGCATATGCACCTTGAGGAATACATATCTCAAAGAACTCCAGCTACTGTACAAGTTAAGTAACCAGGCTTTTTCACATATAGTGAAGAAAGATTCTTTAAGGATAAAAATTTGTCAGTAAATCATTTCACAACAAGACCCTATTACTTTAAATATTGGCCTGCTCTGCAGTACTGCATCACAGAAGCTGTATCTGCACGGGGAATATTTCTGATACCATTTTTTATGTAGATAGTCACATTCACAAACACTTAGAGCTATTTTCTTAATGGCTTTAGTGTAGTAATGTTACATTCAATTTTATAGACAGCCAAATACAAATTCAGCTCTCGACACCAGAGCTTGCATAGAGGTGATTGATGATTATTTCTAGGCTCTGTCATCTATTGCAATGAATGTCTGCTAGTTAAATGTGACCATACAGAAGCAGACGTGATGTGTTCTGCTAAAGATGACATAACTTCTCATGCTATACTGACCTTGTCTTAGGGTATAGTTTGGTACTCTTGTTTTATTTATAATTACCACGTATTCTTTTCCAATAGCAGGTTCCCAAAGAACTGCTAAAAATCTGATGGGAGGGATTAAAAACAAGGTTAAGGGCCTGGTCTAAAGCCCATTTACTTCAGTAGTGTTTGAATCAAGTTCTTAAAGACTTGTCTAGATTTTTTTAAATTCTTCCCCTTTAGCATGCTGTCTTTGAGCGCTGCTCCCTCTTAGTGATTTTGCAGAGAAATCGCCAACAGGAATTCACATGAATCTGGAGTTATGAATGTTGTATCTAACCTTAATCAAGTTGATAGCTTTTTAATGCTAACTCTCCCGCTTCATGAGAAATAAATCAGGCATTTATCTGTATTTTGGTTTGCAAACTCTCCTCCCCTACACACCCATCTCTATTTTTTTCAGAAAAAAAAATATTTTATCATTCCTTAGGAGGCTTTGTGATTTACAGAAACCCATCAGCTGATTTTTATCATCTATATATAAAGTGAAATTTGTAACTGCATTTCAAGGAGAAAAAATATATTAAGATGTTTTAAAATGATGGGGGAAAGGCTTTGAAGAACTTTTCAAAACCACAAACTGTGCTGCATCAGTGAATAATTTGGGGTGGGGGTGAATCATCCTTGAATTTCCTTCCGGCAGAAGGAACCATTTGCTAATAATAATCCACCCTTGCAAATTGTTGGCAACTGTAATGAGTCTACTTCTATAAATAATAATAATGCCCTACTCTTATAGAGCACTATCCGTCTACAAGAACCCTTTAGCATTTTAGAGATTACTACATTCAATACTTAAATGTAGGTACTTCTGCAAAGTAAACCCAAAAGCTGTTCTGCTCTAGTTGTTCAAGGACCGAAATTGAAGAATATTATTAATGTTTATTATGGAAGAGCCTAGGGGCCAACCAAGAACAGGGCCCCATTGTGCTGGGTTCTGTACAAACTCAGAGTATCAGGCCGTGACTGCCCCAAAGAGCTCACAGTCTAAAAAAGACAGATAGAGGGTGGGGGAAAGCAGCATGAACAATGTGATGGCAGCATATAGCATGATAGTTCCATGATTAGTTAGGAGAGGATAAGGTACATGGAAAGAAAAATGAAAGGAGTGCCTGCTGAAGGGAAGAAGGGTGAGGATAACAGGGCAGGGGGAAAGAGGGTATGTGGAGAATGTGTGGCGTGAAGCTGAGGTGAAGAGACTGTGAGGATGGTAGAAGAGGGTTGGAGCAAGCAGCCAATCAGCAGGGGGCAGAGGAAGTCCAGTCAAAACAGCAGAAAGTTCTCTGTGTGCACTTTGGCTGTTTCTGTACCTGCTTCTACCAGCTGTAGTCTCTGCTGGTTCCACAGTGCACTTTTTCCCCATGGCCACGTGATGGGAATAGAGCAGGGGTGGGCAAACTTTTTGGCCCAAAGGCCACATTGGGGTTTCAAAACTGTATGGAGGGCCGGGTAGGGAAGGCAGTGCCTCCCCAAACAGCCTGGTCCCCGCCCCCTATCCGTCCCCTCCCACTTCCCGCCCTCTGACTGCCCCCTCATAACCCCTGACCCATCCAATCCCCCTTGCTCCTTGTCCCCTAACCTCCCCCTCCCGGGACCCCCGCGCCCCAACTGCCCCCGGGACCCCACCCCCCCATCCAACCCTCCCCTGCTCCAGTCCTCTGACTGCCCCGACCCCTATCCATACCCCCGCAACCCCTGACAAGCCCCCCAGGACTCCCACACTTATCCAACCCCCCCTGTTCCCTATCCCCTGACTGTCCCCTGGGATCCCCCATCCCTTATCCAACCCCCCGGCCCCCTTACCATGCCGCTCAGAGCAGCATGTCTGGCAGCTGCGCCGCCTGGCCGGAGCTAGACACTCTGCCACTCTGCTCAGCAGGAGCGCGCAGCTCTGCTGCTCAGAGGTCTGCCCGTGCGGCTGCGTGGCTGCGGGGGCATAGCCGGGGAGGGGCCGGGGGCTAGTCTCCATGGCCAGGAGCTCAAGGGCCGGGCAGGATGGTCCCGCAGGCCGTAGTTTGCCCACCTCTGGAATAGAGTGATATATAGACCACTACAGAAAGACTGTTGGTAATAGGAGCATTGGGGGGTATGGATCAGTTCACATTGCACTCCCCGTCAGCACTGGGCAGGGAAGCTAGCGGATCAAATTCAGAGATGAGTCCTGGTCATGTGCCACCTGAGGCATGTTGCACATACGCTAAGAAGATAGGAGCATTAATTTTAAGCACTGCAGTCATTATGCTTTGTAACGTTAGCCTGAAGCCCTAAATGCCTCTGAACCCAAGATAATTTATTTTATAGATTCTGGAAAATCCAGCAATTGCTTTAGGCATGTTCATTTGCTCTGCATCTGCTGCTGATCCAAAGACATAGTAAATTACTATGTCTATGAATACGTTTTGATTTGAGTAGCAACTTGTAGGATAGCTTTTTCACATTACCGGTCATATCCTTTAGATCCATGACAGTATGTTTCAGCCCTGTATTTCTGGGTAATGCTATCTGCAGGCTAACACACTATTTATTATACACTTTCTGTACAGATCACCGGTACAGCTCAGCAAGTGACTGAATCCAGTTTGGGTGAGAGAAACATGACAGCCGGCTTTAGCACACAAGGTGATTTTACTGTTTGTTTATTTTGGGAGCATGCAGTTGTCACTAAGGCCATGTCTATCCTATGGGTGCTACGGTGGCACAGCTACATTGCTGCAGCTATACTGACATAGGGCCTAGAGTGAGAGGAGTTTGTCCATCCATGTGTGTAATCCATCTCCCTGAGCGGCGGTAGCTAGGTCGATGGAATTCTTCCCTCGGTCTAACCATGTCTACACTGGGGGTTAGGTTGGCTTAACTATGTCATTCAGGAGTGTGAATTTTTCACACCCTTGAGCATGTAGCTATGTCAACCTAACTTTTAAGTGTAGACCAGGCATTAAAGTGGGCTGTTTCCTCTTATTCGTTCTTTTCTACCTTGAAGAGGAGGGATTTGGTCCCATCTTGATCATAATAAGAAACACTTTTGTCCCAGTCACTCACTACTTTCCTTCTTCACAAACCGATATTGCTAGAATGGTAAAACAGGCACAGAAGAAAGCCAGTTTTCTTCCCCAAAGCTGTCTCCAAAGCTCTGTGGAGAGCTTACTTTGATTGGAAGCTTTCTTGAGGCTTTTAGTTGTCTTTAAAGCACCATGCATTCCTGTGGCACTCTATAAATAATATTAATAAGCAACAGTGTCTGCCGTTGGAGAGGTACACTCAGATCGCTCTTCCCTACTGCTGCTCTGCAGTGTGTTAGCTGTGTAATGTACATAGTCTCCAGAAGACCAGGAATGAACCTGAGCTCTTTCTTCTGAAGGCAGATCTCTTGAATAGGGATCCTGAGCAGCAGCAGCACAGGGCCAGCTCATTCTTTTAACCAAGTTTATCAGGACAGCCTTTCGGTAACAAGTCTGATTGACATTGAGAGGTATTCACCTCTAGGTCAATGTCTTAAATTCAGCTCAATGACCAGAACGGGTTACTACCTGATGGCTGTTCAGTGATGTATATGAAATGAGGTGATGGTCTCAGTCTAATCCCCAGCAGATACGTGTCCATATCATAGCCAACATTAACACCCGGTAGGTATTACCTCTTGGCACCCTTGCTGACAATCTCAGAAGAGAAGCTAAAGTTTTAACAGGTCTGAGGACTGAACTATTTTCTATTATCTTCCAAAATAGTGTCAGTGTATGCTGACAAATCAGTGTTGGGAATCAAGTACTTCCCATGATGTGTCTGTTTTGTGGATGACTAGAAGGCTTCAGTCTCCAGAGTGGTCAATTCCTCACTTTTCACTAGCACTAAATATTCTTAAAAAAAAAACATTTGACATCTTTGTGCAGTGAAGTGTGATGTTAACAGTTCAAGGTGACCCATTTTTATTATTAAGGAGGTGCTGTTTACAAAGAGTTTTCTTATATACTCATAGCAGATATTTAATTTGTTTTATCAAAACTGAATTTATTGGATCACTATGATGAGCAGAATGTGTCTCCTTTCTGCTTTGTATTGAAATAATATGTGATGCTGTAGATGAGTTAAGAATCAGGGATTCAGTCATAAACATTTTGTAGCTCTGTGCATATGTATTTATTATGTAGACATTTTAAAAATGCATACTCTTTCTTTGACACATAATGGGGGATGTAAAAGTATATGTGCATCTTTTAAAAATGTAACTCTTGGTTACATTTTTATTAAATGTTGGTATTACTAACATGACAGAATACATACAGTGAATATAAATCCAACATTTTCATGTATATTCTCATTTCAAAAGAGGTTCTGCCTCCAACCACAGGAATGTATTCCTTTACATACTGAGAAAGAGCAAGGTGGGTGAAGTGATATCTTTTATTGGACCAGCTGCTGTTGGTGAGAGAAGAAGCTTTTGAGCTTACACAGAGCTCTCCTTCAGAAACTCTGCGTTAGCATGAAAACTTTTCTCTCTCACCAGGAGAAGTTGGTCCCATAAAAGATATTACCTTACCCACCTTGTCTCTCTAATATCCTGTGACCGACACGGCTACAACAACACTGCATACATTTTGCTTAAGTATATTATGCATTAACATGCTATGTCTGTGTCTACCCTAGGTTCCCCCAACGCCCGCCCTTACAAAACTACCCCGAAATAACCTTGCCACTGTTGTGAGTGCCATGGTAAAGCAGTCATTGTGCAGCTAGACCTGCTCTGAGCAGGGTTAAACGATAATGGTAGTCAAGCTGATGTTGACCAGCCTCTACTACAGCTTCCTCTGTTGGTACCACTAGGGGAACTGCAGCAGTGGAGTGTAGCAATCATGAGAAAGTGTAAATAAGGCCCTTAAGTCAGGCTGACCAATGGGTCCAAACAACTCCAACCAGGATAGAGAGAGAGTGGGAGTGTCTGTTTGGAAGGTTTATACTATCTGATTGTTTCTGAGTATCAATAAAACCAAATCCGGGAACAGAGGTTCCATGGTGGGTTTGGACACTACTTCAAGGTCTCTGCTCTGAGGATGGGATACGGATTTGACCATTCACGCATCTGTCTTAATATTCTAAAGATTTCAGATCATGACTTAATGTGATATGTTACAAAGATTCATCTTAACTACCCAAGTAAGAAGCTTTTGGGACATTCTGGTATATTTAACAAACATGCTATTTAAAAATGTCTAAATAAGTATTTACATCACCAAACTTAAGTTTCAGTGTATCTAATACACTTTGAGCAGTAAATAATATGCATTTTAACACGTCTAAATAGATATTTACATAATTTACTAATGTGTCCTTTGGCAAATTTAAGTTGCCTGGCAAATATGAGTTTGTTTCCCACATGCCCAGAAGAAAATACTAGGTCTCACTTAGCAATTTTGAGTGGGGATGAAAAGTCCTTCATAAAATCTAGCCTTTCGGATATCTGACATCATATGCAGTGATGGCTCCTTCTCCATCTTATCTTTGGAGTGCCAGGGTAAGCCCCCAAAATACCACAGCTCCCTTTTGAAGTTTACAATATTTCCTGCCAGGCCAGGAATACAGCACTAAGAGATTTTCTTTCATTTCAGCACTTCCATCGCTTCCTGCTAGCCAGACCCCAGGTGCACAGAGGCACTTTACCAAACATTTGTAAACCTGCTAACAGATCCTATTGTCCCATCCCTCAACAAAAAATATGAGAACCTGTTTACCTTACCAACATTGCTAGCAACAGCTATTACATGAAAAGGGGCATCCGAGATTGCTGAGCTGAATGGAACAATTTATTTTAAGTTATGTATATTCTGTATATAATTGGGGATGACACCTGGTAACTCCTCATCAATTCTAGTCCACTATAAAAAAGTAATTGGTTGTATTCTGAAGTTGGGTAAAAAAGAATGTATAGTCCAGGATGTAGGTGTGGTTCTTTATTCTCTTAGAAAATCATTTCTGGCAACAAAGAGGAGAAAAATACAGCTTTACGTAACACACCGACACATTTTCGTTTATATATAAATGTGTGAGCCTCTTGGAAGAAGAGATAAAAATCTCAACTTCTAATACATAGGGCTTCCACGGTGGTGTATATCTGCAGAGAATGTTGAGCTTTCATCTGCCACATAGAGACAAAGAAATCTCTGATACGCTATACATTTTGTATGCTAAAGAGATGGTACAAGGGTGGATTCTTTTTCGAGAAGCTCTTTGATGTGTATTTGAGACATGTGTGATGCCTGGTTACAAGGTGTTAGATACAAAACTAGCATTGATAATACTGGTAGGTATAAAACTTTGATAAATGCCTTGGTTACTGAGTATCTGTGTAAAGTGTATTGTTCCTACCACACACAATCCTTACAGCATTAAAAGAAATGTTTATCAAATAAACCAAAGGCAGGACTTCACCCCTCTCTAACTGTAGTGGGAGAATATACTTTGGTATGAGCTTTATCAGTGAAAGAAAATAGATGAGAATAGCTCAAAGCATTTTGCTTAAAAAAGACTAAAAGCAGGAGGATGACTTCAGTCTTTACTATCCTGGCATTTTTGTCATTTAAAATATTTAAATTATTTTAATATATTGGTTTAAACCCATGAGTTGAACCATTAGAGCATTATCTTTTTAGGACAAGGACTTTCTTCATGTTGTGTCTTGTACAGCACTGGCACATAGCTGGCTTAAAAACAGAATGAATACTAATAATGATATACATGACTGCAATATGATAATACTCCAAATGCCTTGTTTTTCAGTGTCTGTTGACAGTACCTCTCTTATGGTCTCTGAGGTTGCTGATATCCCAGATCATAGTTACTCTTCAGAGGATCTTTATTCTCTGGAAGTTCAGGGGTCTCTTCGTTCCACAGACTTTTCTCCGTACAGTACAACCCACAAAGGCACCACAAACAGGAGCTGCACCAGTTTGGATCACAGCATTCGCTCTGGGTTTCACAGGACTAACTCTCAATGTTCCCCTGATGAGGATGGGAGTTCCCGCAGCAGAGCCTCTATGGACAGGTCTCAAGGCCAGGAATATGAGAACTATGTTCATGGCAGAGCCTCAGACTGCTCCTCAGAGAATTTCAGCCCATCAGAAAGAGAATCCCAGAGCTCTGTTAGAGAAAACAAAGCCACGCCACCCTTGAAACAAGTGAAAATATGTTGTGGGGTCTTTAACCAGCCTGCTGCTGTACACTCTCAGCCCTCTCCCTGTTCTGTGCCTGCAAGTACTTCATCACACTATGGCTGCCCCGAGAGAACTGCCCAGCAGCATTGCATTAGAAAATACGGCATTCCAAACATAGTCCGGTCTACTAGTGACCCTGTATCATGTTCATCCAGCACAGAAGGTAAGTGTGGGCCACTAAGGCAATGTAGTATGGAACAAATCAAGCACAGTTGATTTATCCTGCAGCTAGTATTATTGGAAGTTATATCAAGTTTTGCAGCATGATTTACACATGTAGAATTTAGCTCCTTGTACATTTCCCATGTTTAAAAGTTATAGGCAGAATGAATGTGGAAAAAAATGTACAAGTGTGAAATTAATAATTGCAGTTCTTAATTGTATTGACCTTTCTCCACTGAGTCAAAAAACTACACCTTGGGCAGCGTATGAAGAACAGGTGCTTCTGCTAGTCTGCCACTGTCACACTGAACACCAAGACTAAAGAGTTGAGTGGAAGCTGGGGTATCATTCAGGAAAGGGGAGTGGCCAAGCAGACATACTTGTAGTGCAGCAGGCCTAGCTTCTGGCTTTCCTCCCTGAGGTGGCGCTGTCTTTGATAGGATCAGCAAGCAATACACTATTAGCACGGTCTCTAGAGGCAGCAGGTCCAGTATGACAGTGTAGTGACAAGATGGTGGGTCATTTTCAGAAGGATGGTGATGAGAATAACAAGGTGGTAGTGTCTGGCTTTCCTGCAGCAGTCTCTTCTGCTATAAAACCCCCCTCAGTAATGGAGGGAGAGAAAGGGAGAGGTCTTACTTAGCAGCTGCCAACTCTTCATGAAAACATCAGTTTATGACTGTGAAAGAGAAAGTATTTGTTACAGTAGAATAACTTGGCCAAATGATAGCAGAGATGATATAACAGTCTATAACTCCTGAAAAGGGATCGACATCACAAAAGGAAGTAAATTGTTCAGGGATGTTCAAAGGAGTAAAGCGGAGAAATAGATTTAAAGTAAAAGGAAGAAAAGTTGTCCTACCAGTGATAGCAGTTGGACTGTTGAATAATTTTCCAAGGGAACTGGTGGAAGAGTCATTGCTTGGCTAATTTAAAACAGAAGCAGACAAAACATGAGAAGAAAATCGTATGTAGAATTACCCTGCACCAGCAGAATGATGGGCTAGGCAATCTACTAGGACTTTTGCATCATTAATTTCTGTGATTCTGTGAATTTCAGAGACATTAACATGTAGTTCTGTGAGCTCCCTGTGACAGCGAGTTAATGCACTGGCATTTTAAATCTAGAAACCTGGCTTCAAATTGCCACCCAAGAAATGTGCATCCTTAATATAAAAATAGTATATGTTGGATTTCTTATGTGTATGTTATTGTAATGCTGCGTATCTGGTAAGAAGCAGCTGTGTGGGTTAAAACTAGAGATATGGGAACTCATTTTGTTTAATTTCTCACCCACTTAACTTCATGCATTGGAAAGTTGGACTCAAACACTAGGTTTGTTGTTTTGCTTAGGAGAGACTGTAAATAAAGTGGCAGACAACGATCTAAAGACAACACCAATACGCACCTGTGTGAATGTAACGTATAGGAAGCTTACTTGTGCTGATCTAGCTTCATCACCAAATTGTTTGTTCTTTAAAATTAAATCCCTTTGAAGAAATGAATGAGTTTAAGTGAAAAGAAAGAGAACTTTGCAAATTCAAACCATTTTGTAAACTTCATAAACAGTTTGAGAGATTTAGAAAATCTCCAGCTCCATGGAGTTCCTCAACCCTAGTCATAACATCTGCTTGCTTTCCTCCCTGCTCAGGTGAAGAGTTTGTTGAACATTATTTGGAAATTACATAAATATTACAAGAAGTGTATTTCCAATGACATGTAGCAGCTGTTTGTATCAGCCCCTTCAGCGTCATCTCTTGTGACAAACAGCTGGAGTTGCTTATCTTTGGCTATCTCTGCCTAAGCATTTGATCTGGATACTTCAGGGATGGGCTATGACAGGGGTAGGCAACCTATGGCATGCGTGCCAAAGGTGGTATGCGAGCTGATTTTCAGTGGCACTCACACTGCCCGGGTCCCTGCCACCGGTCCG